GGTCAGAAAATTTTCTGTACCTTAAAGTCAATATATAAAAGGTCAGTTCTGTTACTAGCAGTTAACTATTAAAACAGAACTATGAGAAATGGACTGACTGCTAATGGACAACTTAATACATTATCCCTCATAGTATTTTTTTTTTGTCTGTTCTACTTAATATGACTGGTTTAATTCTGTAATTATCACACAGTTATTCTTAAGTGTTGAAAATTAACTGAAATGTGATCCCTGTTAAACATAAGAGTGGGAATAAGAGAGGGAAGAGATGTATAATTTGGGGCATGCTCGGGCTGACTTGCCCCAATTGGTAGAGTTGGAAACATACCAGGGGATTCCAATTCAATCCCATCAAGGTGGCATGTGCCAATGCCATCTCACTACTGCAAGTGATCAATTTCAGTTCACAATTGATCATAATGAAAGGACTAAGAGTCAAAGGGAGCACATAAACAAGTCTAGTATCTGCTAACACCAACCGATAGAATAAATAAAGGGGAGAGTGATCCAACATGGGAAGTGAGATACTCAGCAGACTCATAGAATGGCGGATGTCCTAAATAGCACTCTGGCCTCAGAATCAGCCCTAAAGGCACTCGGATCTGGCTGAAAAGCCCATGAGAGTATTTCAGGCATGGAAAGCCAAGACACTCTGGCAAAAAGATCTCTGTGAGTGAGATCCCAGTGGAAAGAACAGGTCTTCAAAGAGGGAGGTGCCTTTCTCTGAAGGGAGGAGAGAACCTCCACTTTGACTATGACCGTGTCTAAACAAGATAAGAGTCGGAGAACTCAAGGGGCTTCCATAGCCTTGGAAACTCATAACTGGTGCATAGGGAGATTACTGATGCCATAAACAGGAGTGTCAATTGGTAAAGTCAACAACAGGAGTCACTGTGCACTTACTCCTCATGTAGGATCTCTGTCCTTAACGTGCTGTACACTGAGGCTTAATGCTATAACGAGTACTCAAACAGTATATTTCACTTTGTGTTTCTATGGGGGTGCAAACGACTGAAATCTTTACTTAATGTACACTAAACTGATCTTCTGTAAAAAACAAAAAAAAAAAAAAAAAAAGAAAGAAATTATCAATTCCCAACGTGACTCTCACTGGGATTAAACATGACAATAGGTCTGATCTGATTTCATCATCATTTAAAAAAAATCATCTATTATTTTTCACTTTATGTTTCTGTGTGGGAGCAAACTGTTGAAATACTTACTTAAGGTATACTAAGCTGATCTTCTGTATATTAAGATAATCGAAAATGAATCTTGATGTGAATGGAAGGGGAGAGGGAGTGGGAAAGGGGAGGGTTGTGGGTGGGAGGGACGGTATGGGGGGGAAGCCATTGTAACACATGAGTCGTACTTTGGAAATTTATATTCATTACATAAAAGATTAAAAAAAAATAAAAAATAAATAAATAAAAAAAAAAAACAGAATTAATGGGGTGAGAGGGACTGGCACCGTGCTGTAGCAGGTAAAAGCCTGCAGTGGGGAATCCCATATGGGTGCCAGTTCGAGTCCCAGCTGCTTCACTCCTTTCCAGCTCTCTGCTATGGCCTGGGAAAGCAGTAGAAGATGGCTCAAGTGCTTTGGCCCCTGCACCAGCATAGGAGGCCCAGAGGACACTCCAGGCTCTTGGCTTCAGATCAGCCTAGCTCTGGCTGTTGGTGGCCAGCTGGGGAGTGAACCAGCAGATGGAAGACCTCTCTCTCTCTGTCTCTGCCTTTCTGTAACTCTGCCTTCCAAATAAATAAATAAATCTTGGAAACAACAAAAAAAAGAATTAATGGGGCCAGCACTGTGGCGTAGCGGATAAAGCTGTTGCCTGTGGCTGCAGCATACCATATGGAAGCCGCTTCAAATTCCGGCTGCTCCTCTTCCTATCCAGCTCTCTGCTAAGGCCTGAGAAAGCAGAGAAGATGGCCCAAGTCCTTGGTCCCCTGCACCTGCAAGGGAGACTCAGAAGAAGTTTCTGGCTTCTGATCAGCTCAACTCTACCCATTGTGGCTGTTTGGGGAGTGAATCAGCAGATGGAACACCTTTCTTTCTGGCTCTACCTCTCTCTGTAACTCTACCTCTCAAATAAATAAATAAGTACATCTTTTTAAAAAAGCAGAATTAAAAAGCACCATTTACCATTTGTAACAAGAAGAGAACAACAACAAAATAATCTAACAAAAGTTTAACTAAATAAAAGGTACTGGGACAATTTTGGTTATCTGCATGGAGAACAAATTAAATTGAATTCCTGTATTAGGCCATACAAACAATTAGTTTTAGGCAGATTAAAGATGTATATGTATAAGACAAAACTTTAAAACTTATTTATAGGGGCTGGCACTGTGGTATAGTGGGTAAGGCCACTGTCTCCAGTGCCGGCATCCCATATGGGCACTGGTTTGAGGCCTGGCTGCTCCTCTTCTGATCCAGCTCTCTGCTACAGCCTGAGAAAGTAGTAGAAGATGGCCCAAGTCTTTGGGCCCCTGCACCTGTGTAGGAAACCCAGAAGCGGCTCCTGAATCCTGGCTTTGGATCAGCGCAGCTCTGGTCATTGCAACCAATTGGGGAGTGAAGCAGCAAATGGAAGTCCTCTCTCTCCTTCTCTCTCTGTGTAACTCTGATTTTCAAATAAATAAATAAATAAAAATTTTAGTGGCTTTGTGCTAGGAAGAGATTTCTTAAGACCCCAGAAAGCACAAATCAAGAGAAAAATGGATTTAACTACATTAAAATTAGAATTTGAGAGCCTACAGAAAATAGGTGAAGCACAATTAGAAACTACACATAACACATGCAGCTGACAAAAGGTTAGTATCCAAAGTACATGGAGAACTGTTACAAATCAATCGTAAAGTCAGTTTCATAGGAAAAGACGTTTCTGAAAGGGAAGAAATGTGAATGGTGAATCCATGAAAAGATGTTTAGCTTCGCTGGTAGGAGGGAGAGCTACTGAAACCACAGTAAAAGGGTGATGTCAGTTAAAATGGCCAAGTAGGGACCTCTAGGAGCTGTCCCTCTGAAGAAACACCAAAAATCTTGGCAAAAACTGTCAGTCAAGCTTATCAGAGCTCTGGAAGACAAAGGTTCACAGCTACCAAGGAAGGAGCTGGAAGGGGTGAAGTAGGGGGAGTCTACCCAGAATTCTAAATCCAGTGAAACACACTTCAGGAGTGATGGAGAAATCAAGGCAGACCTGGGTGAACAGTAACCGATGGAGTTCATTACTGAGACATGTCCTACAAGAAATACTAGAGGGAGACGTCCAGGCACACCACACACCTACATATACTTGCTGGCATAGGGCCGAGAAATCCCTATTTTAAATAAAACCTCTGATTGGTTCTTACATACCCAAAATAAAAACTCTGCAATGCAGTAACATTCTCTATCCACTAGATTATTAAAAACTGGGGGTGGGGGTGGGGGGGTGGCCCAGGATGTGGCACAGTAAATGGTACAGCTACCTTGGAAAATATTTTGGCATTACCTAGTAAATTCAAAAATATGAAGTAGCAGGGCCGTGCTGTGGCATGGCTGTTCCACTTCTGATCCAGCTCTTTGCTATGGCCTGGGGAAGCAGAGAAGATGGCCCAAGTCCTTGGACCCCTGCACCCGAGTGGGAGACCTGGAAGAAGCTCTTGGCTCCTGGCTTCGGATCAGCACAGCTCTGGCCGTTACTGCCATCTAGGAAGTGAATCAGCGGATGGAAGACTGACTTTTTTCTTTCTTTCTTTCTCTCTCTCTCTCTGCCTCTCCTTCTCTCTCTGTGTAACTCTGACTTTCAGATAATAAATAAATCTTTAAAAAAGAACATGAAGTAGCATGCAGTAGCTTTGCAGACCACTCAGAGAAACTCTGCAACAGAAGATACATAAATAGTGTTCACAGCAGCTGTTTTTAAAGACAGAAAACTGGAAATAATCCAAAGGTTTATTGATAGAAATAATAAACTTTTACGTTTGACCTAAAAGCAAAAGCAAATTGATAATGACTGTTATTTAGTTGGTGGATAGAGTACTTGAATATTGTTCTGTAGATTTCTTGATATCTAGAGTACAAATAAGTATAATTTATTTTAAATGCCATTCACTGCCCCACCACCACCATTTTTACTCTTTGCTTAGTGATTCTTCTGTCAAACCAACACCACTTGCACTTTCCCTACCCTTCCGCCTATTTAGTGGTGAAAATATGTATAACAGAATGCTTTTATCAGTCATTCTCTCTCCCTTTTTAAAAGATTTATTTTATTTGAAAAGGAGAGTTATAGGGAGAGAGAAGGAGAGAGATCTTCCATCCACTAGTTCATTCCCCAAATGGTTGCAACGGCCAGAGTGGGCCAGTCTGAAGCCAGGAGCTTCATCTGGATCTCCCGAATGGCTGCAGGAGCCCAAGCACTTGGGCCGTTTTCCACTGCTTTCCCAGGCGCATCAGCAGGGAGTCTGATTGAAAGTGGAGCAGCGGGGACTCGAGCTGATGCCCATATGAGATGTTCACATAGCTGCATCTCTGATATAGGTACAAAATCAAGGGGAATATTTTATAGATATCTATCTTCACTTTGAGGTGGCAGTACTTTTTTTATAGTGTATAAATGTTTATTTAAATCCTAGGTTATTCTATAGTGGGAATATTTGTGACAAAATACAAAGTTACAAGGTTTATCTGAATGGATGATTATGCTTAGGATAGAAGTCTGTGATCACCTTTTGCTCATGTTTGTATTTCAGAAGAGGAAGCTGGTCAGAGACATGTGGATATGAGCTAAGTGTTCAGGGACGATTCCAGCTATTGACTTGCTGTTTGTATATGAAGAAAATTAAGTTTCTCAATTTTTTTTTCTTGTATATGTACTTCAAAGACATCTGTTTCCTTGAAATTGAGGAAACATACTTTATTATTTTGGAGTTGCAAAGTGTTAAAAGTTATTTCTCTCTTTCCTGTCTCTTCCTCATTTTCCTAACATGTGATTTATTTCTGGTTTTACCAGCTCTGGGACCATTTGGATCACACGATGTTTTTCCAAGATTTTAGACCATTTCTAAGTAGCAATCCACTGGACCAAGACAACAGAGCCAATGAGAGGGGTCACCAAACCCACACTGACTTCTGGGGACCAAGCCGGCCTCCTCGGCTGCCGATGACGCGGAGATACAGATCTCGGGGAAGTACTCGCCCTGACAGATCACCAGCTATTGAAGGGTGAGTGATTTTGAAGTCCTTTTAAGAGTGCTTTCAGGGGCTGGTGTTGGGGTGCAGCAGGTTAAGCTGCCTTCAGTGTCTGAGTGTTCACGGTGTCGGTGTCCTAGCTACTCTGCTTCTGATCCAGCTTCCTGCTGATGCACCTGGGAAGGCAGCAGAGGGTGGCCCAAGTGCTTCTGCCCCTGCACCCACCTGAGATATAGAATGGTACTCCTGATGCCTGGCTCAGCACTACCTGTTGTGAACCAGCAGATGGGTCATCTTTCAATCTCTCTTTCCCTGCCCCCAAATAAATCAATACTTTCTTTTAAAGAGAACTTTCAATGAAGGACATGTTGGTGTAATTGAATCCATACAAGATTCTCGTACTTAATACCTTTGTGGAGCTAGATGGACAAGATGAAAATTCAGCTGAATTGAATGTCTAATATGAGCTAAGTGTTAAGAAACTGGTCCAGCTGTTGGCTTGCTAGTTTCTATATAAAAATATACATTTCCTAATTTATAATTTTTTTCTTATGTGTATACTTCAAACACCTCTCTTTTCTATGAAATTGTGGAAATGTATTTTATTATTTGGAACTGCCTACTACCAGTTAATGATGATAAACTAAAGGATTGTAACACTAATGTTACAGGTCTTTGATTAACATTTTTTTTATATTTTTAAAAGATTTTATTTATTTATTGGAGAGGTTGAGTTATACACAGAGAAAGGGAAACAGAGAGAAAGATCTTCCAGCTGCTGGTTCACTCCCCAAATGGCTGCAGCTGCCGGAGCTGCGCTGATCTGAAGCCAGGAGACAGAAGCTTCTTCCCGGTCTCCCATGCTGGTGCAGGGATCCAAGCACTTGGGCCATCTTCTACTGCTTTTTCATGCCACAGCTGAGAGCTGGATCAGAAATGGAGCAGCCAGGACTGAAACCAGAGACCATAGAGGATGCCAGCACTGCAGGTGGCGGCTTTACTCACCACAGCACCAGCCCCTCCTCAACTATTTCTTACAGGATTTTGTTTCATTCATTTTCTACTTTTTGCTCCCTTTCCCCCTTTATGCCACCTCAGCTACCTGTTTACCCTTTAGCTTTGTGTTTTTTTTTTTTTTGGACAGGCAGAGTGGACAGTGAGAGAGAGAGAGACAGAGAGAGAAAGGTCTTCCTTTTGCCGTTGGTTCACCCTCCAATGGCCGCCGCTGCAGCCGGCGCACCGTGCTGATCCGATGGCAGGAGCCAGGATCCAGGTGCTTTTCCTGGTCTCCCATGGGGTGCAGGGCCCAAGCACCTGGGCCATCCTCCACTGCACTCCCTGGCCACAGCAGAGAGCTGGCCTGGAAGAGGGGCAACCGGGACAGAATCCGGCGCCCCGACCGGGACTAGAACCCGGTGTGCCGGCGCCGCAAGGTGGAGGATTAGCCTAGTAAGCCACAGCGCCGGCCTAGCTTTGTGGTTTTTAAACCTGGCTGAACATTAGCATCATCAAAAATTGTTTTTAAAAATACTGATATGAGGATCCTACCCCTAGGGATTATAATTTAATTAGTCTGGTTTAAGGTCTAGAATTAGTAATGTTTTAAAGCTCCTAAAGTTATTCTTATTGTAGTAGGATTAAAAACCACTGCTCCAGTTATTACCAGCTCTCATTCCTTTTTGGTAAAAAAAATTTTTTAGAAGATTTATTTATTTGAAAGGCAGAGTGACAGAGAGGAAGAGACAGATTTATAGACAGTAAATCTGCTGGTTTACTGCTCACATGGCTTCAACAGCCGGGTCTGGGCCAGGCAGACCAAGAGCCAGGAATTCCATACTAGTGTCCCACATGGCTGGCAGAGTTCTTAGTACTTTGGCCATCTTCCACTGCCTTCTGAGGTATGTTAGCAGGAGGCTGGATTGGAAGCAGAATAGCCAGGACTCAACCGGCACTTTGATATGGGATGCCCATGTCACAAAATACAACTGTGCTTGGTTTGTGTACTTTCTCATTTCTCCTATTCTTTTACCTACTCTAATAAGTCCCTCCTTTGGTTAAAATTCCTGATGACTTCTTTCTTATTATTTATTTTTTAGATTTATTTTATTTATTTGAAAGGTAGTTACAGAGAGGAAGGGAAATACAGAAAGAAATCTTCCATCCACTAGTTTGCTCCCCAAATGGCTGCAGTGGCCAGGACTGGGCCAGACTGAAGTCAGGAGCCAAGAGCTTCTTCCTGGTTTCCAACATGGGTGGCAGACCATCCTCTGCTGCTTTTCTTAGGCCATTACCAGAGAGCTGGATCGAAAGTGGAGCAGCCAGGATATGAACCAGTGCCCATATGGGATGCCAGTGCCGCAGGCGGTGACTTTACCTGCTGTGCTACAATGCTGCCCCCACCTCTTCTTTTTTGATTAATGTATAATCTTTGAGAGTGATTCTCTAATGGTTTTTCACCTGATGGTATTTGCACTCACTGATGAATCTTACCTTAATTATTACTGTAATGACTGTAGGAAATTTTACAGTTTCTATGATTCCTTCTACAGATATTAGGCGTTCTTCTATTTAAAAAATTTTTTTTCTCATCTCCCTGCCCTACTTTGTTTATTAACTTATTTATTTTTAGCATGAACTCCTGGATTTTGTTTTAATCAGTGTTCATTTTGATGCTTGAATGGTCCAAATTTGTCTAAAGTAATTAGAGCTCAATGTTTTAGACAGCAGCTCCTGTCCAGAGCCTTTAAATTAATAAGGGAGCTGGGGTGTCAGAGAAGGAGATCAGATGAGGTTGAGTGTCTCTGATTGTTAGCTGATAATTTCTGGCCTATCAGACACATGTGTTTTCTGTTGGAGTTCCTTTAATGGAAATAAAATACTTTCAGGTGAGTGCTGGTGTTGTGGCATGGCGGGTTAGGCTGCAGCTTGCAATGCCGGCATCCCCTGTCAGAGTGCCAGCCCTGGCAACTTCTCTTCCATTCCAACTTTCTGCTAATGGGCCTGGAAAAACATAGACGATGGCCCAAGTATTTGGGCGTCTGCTACCTACATGGGAGACGCAGTTGGAGTTCCTGACTTGTGGTCTTGACCTGGCCTAGACCTGCTGTTGTGGCCATTTGGGGAGGGAACCTGCAGATGGAAGATTGATCTCTCTCTTGTCACTGTGCCTTCCAACTAAATAAATATATCTGTAAAAAGAGATACTTTGGAAGTTTCTTGGTTGCCAAATAAGAATGTGGAGAATTAACCTAATTTGTCCTATGTGAATGCTTCAAAACACAGTATGAGTACCCTTGGGCAGTCATACATTCTGACTGCAATCTAAGAAAGGAGAAGGTAACACACGTACCAGATACATAGAATTTTCCAGATATTAGCCCTATACATTCTTGTTACAGAGCCCTTGACCTGCATCAGGTAAAGCTAAAGTAGAAAGGGGTTAAATTTTAAAATAATTTGTTAAAAAAAAATTCCTTGTCAGGCTGATAAAATATCAGTGTGAGTGCATTGGCTTAAATCAGTCTTCCTCAGCTGCTTTGCCTCTTCCATAGGAAATCATAGTCTTCTGTACTAATTGCCTCTTTGACCAGTAGCAAAGAGTAGGAGAAAAACTCAAGCTTCCTTTCCTTACCAATAATCATATTACCATCGTAATATGCAAGTTACATGTAGCCTGATTTAATGGAGGTTTACACACACAGAACAAAAGTCTGCAGGAAGGTAGGAGCATTTCAGTGTCTCAGTTCTATCAGAGGTGCATCTCCATGACTCTCCTGGTCTTCCTCTCGTACTTACTGTCTTAGGGGCTCAGGTGGGGAGAAAGGGGAAAGACATAACCATAGTTTATTTAGCCCATTTTTCTAAGGAAACCAAAACCTTTTCTACTGCCCCACTGCTATTCCATACCCCTGCCAAGGAATTTCCACTCACTGAGCTCTGTAGCACACACATGCTCCTTGCTTGAGCTGTAAGGAAAACTCAGAAAGCATGGGTTTGGTTTTTATATCCTTTGTAGTGGGAGCTGGCAAGGGAGAATGAAATGTCTGATAATTAGCTATTTTTTTTACATTGATAGACATTCACATTTTATGTCCTAATAATTAGCTATTATATTACCTATTTCAACTAATGGACTAATGGCATGCCATTTTAGATTAATTGTAACATAGAGTTAATATTTATTTCATATTAAGCAATGTTTTAGCAGTTCTGAAGATTTTTATCTTACCATAACTTATAAAATATGTTTTGTTTGGGCTGGCACTGTGGCACAGTGGGTTAAAGCCAAGGCCTGCAGCACTGGCATCTCATATAGGCACCAGTTCCCATCCTGGCTATACCACTTCCTTTTTATTTTTTAAAGATTTATTATTTATTTGAAAGAGTTACACATAGAGAGAAGGAGAGGCAGAGGCAGAGATCTTCCATCTGCTGGTTCACTCTCCAGATGGCTGCAACGACTGGAGCTGGGCTGATCTGAAGCCAGGAACCAGGAGCTTCTTCCTGTTCTCCCACACAGGTGCAGGGGCCCAAGTCCTTGGGCCATCTTCTGCTGCTTTCCCAGGCTATAGCAGAGAGTGAGATTGGAAGTAGAGCAGCCGTGTCTCGATATGGGATGTTGGCACTGCAGGTGGCGGCCTTACCTGCTACGTCACTCTTCTTGCTAGGCACGTATGGAGTAGTGGATGATCATTTGATTTTTTTTTTTTAGGACTGTGCCAAGACAAAACTGGTTTGTATCCCTGATAAAGATCAGTCTACTTATGGTTCTTGCTTGGCTTTTGGAGGTTTCAGTTTAGAGCCTGATGCGTTTTGTGAAGCTTTTCTTCCAGTGGGTCGGGAACTTTAATCTTGGTTCCATTAGAGTGCTGTAACACTCTGCTCTATTTTCCCAAGTTCCGCTTTCTATATTTGCTGCCAGATGTAGCCTCAGATTTGGGAGATGTTCGGAGGGAAGATGGCTGTGTTATGCTGTGTGCTGTGTATGCCTCCTGAGCCTTTGCCAGAGGGTCTGGATTTGCTCTCAGTAGTGG